GTTTATCTAACCAACTTTGTTGTGGATAGTGAACTCTGTTAAGATTTTCTAACAATGTGTGTGGCTTTTTGTTTTTGTAGAAGTAAAAATCTCAGGCATTCATGAATATTTGATAATCAGGGTCCTTCTAAGCTTCCAAATTATCTTTATTAACCTAGTCCAGAACTGGAATTGTTGAGTAGGTCTGAAACAGCAGGTTCCAAGAACAGAAGCCAAGGCACAGGGTTGTACACTGCCCCTCACCCTCTAGGATCTCCAACAGTCATCCCTCACGTGAACCAGCACAAATAAATATATGTGCTACATAAAAACAATGCAGCTGTACCTGCCAAGGGAAAAGGAGTCTCCAGCCACCCTGAATAAGTATACAGTCTAAATAAATGCGTTCCCTCAACTCCTCTACTCTTGCCCCAAAGATCCTCTTTTAGAAATTCCAGAATCATCACTGTTTCCAAGAGGAATCTAATACCAAGCCAAATTCTTGTCCATATATACTGAGTTAAGTGTCAAACTGTACCGGTGTTCTTCCACTTGCAGCCAAGATGGAGTAGTACAAACCAAACATACCCTCCCACCTGATACAATCAAAAAACTGGACAAAATACACAAGTAGGAAAAAATAGGTTAAGACATCAGGAAAAGAAAAAAAAAAACACACTGAGCTTTGAGAAACAGGAAGCAATTCATGGTGAAACCCAACAGTTGCCCCAGTTTATCACCTTGAAAAATTTCCAGGCCCCAGTGTAGGGAGAACATACAGGTATAATTTACTGTGTGTCAATTATACGTCAATAAAGCTGCTAAAATTCTACTAATAGAGATTCTTTCCTAGGGATGCTGGCTTTGATGTTTGTTAAAATGGAAGTCCCACAGAGGGGTAACCATTCAAAATCAGCATTGAGCTATCACACTACAATAAAAACCCGAACCCAAACAATAAAACCAATAAAAACACAAAATTTTGTGCTTACCAGAGAAGGCTAGAGATAGGACCACACATGGAAGGGAGAAAGAACACAGGATGGGGGAAATGGAAACCAACTGGACCACCTGACAGGTGTGCTGAGTACTGGGACCACTGGGGTGGTTCACAAGAAATGCAGAGCAATGTTTCTAGTTGCCACAATAAATAGCAAATATTACTGGTACTTAGTGGATACTAGCAAGGGAAGCTCAACTCCCACAAAGTGTAGAATTGTTCCACAGGACGATGAATGGTGCCCTACAAAATGTCAATAGCACCCTACTGGGAAACGCTGGTGGAAGAACTCAACTGTGCAGGCTGTTGGTCTCCTCCTCAATACCAGCATTAGAAAGGGACCTGGGTGCACATTTAGAGCTAGGAGGGGGCTTCAAAAGGATCATGGGAAAACAATTTAAAACAACAAGTGTTTTTTCATGTAAGAAATGATTGAGAGGCCTGCGTGTAGCACACCAGGTTAAGTCACTGCTTGAAACACTCGGATCCCATTTAGGTGTCAGTTTGAGTCCCAGCTGCTCTACTTCTCATCCAGCTTCCTGCTTGTGCATGTGGAAAAAGCAGTAGAATATGGGCCTCTGCCACTCATGTGGGAGACAACGATAGAGTTCAGTCTCCTGACTGTTGTAGCCATTTGGGGAGTAAATCAACAGATGGAAAATCAATCAATCTCTCCTCCCCCAACCCCCATCACTCTACCTTTCAAATAAATAAGTAAATATTTTTAAAAGAGAGAAATGGGGGGGGGGGGTGGCACCATGGTGCAGTAGGTTAATCCTTCGCCTGCGACGCCGGCATCCCATATGGGTACTGGTTCTGCTCCCAGCTGCTCCTCTTCCAATCCAGCTCTCTACTGTGGCCTGGGAAAGCAGTAAAAGATGGCCCCGGGTCCTTGGGCCCCTGCACCCATGTGTAAGACCGGGAAGAAGCTCCTGGCTCCTGGCTTCAGATTGGTGCAGTCCCGGCCGTGGCGGCCATTTGTGGAGTGAACCAATGGAAGGAAGACCCTTCTCTCTGTCTCTCCCTCTTACTGTCTGTAGCTCTACCTCTCAAATAAATAAATAAAATCTTTAAAAATTAGAGAGAGAGAAATAGGAGCCAACACTGTGACATAGTAGGTAAAGTATCCGCCTGCAATGCCAGCATCCCACATGGAGTCCAGGATGTTCCACTTCTGATGCAGCTCCCTGCTGATGGCTTGGAAAAGTAGCAGAGGATGGCCCAAGTACTTGGGCCCTTGCACCTTCGTGGGAGACCCGGAAGAAGCTCCTGGCTCCTGGCTTTGGATCAGCCCAGCTCTGGCTGTTGCAGCCATTTGGGGAGTGAACCAGCGGATGGAGGACCTCTCTGTCTCTCTCTGTCTCTGTCTCTGTCTCTCTCTACCTGTAACTCTGCCTCTCCGTAGTGGGTAAAGCCACTGTCTGCAATGCTGGCATCCCATATGGGTGCCAGTTAATGTCCTGGCTGCTCCACTTTCTATCCAGCTCCCTGCTGGTGGCCTGAGAAGGCAGCAGAGGATGGCCCAAGCGCTTGGGCCCCTGCACCCATGTGAGAGACCAGGGAGAAGTTCCTGACTTCTGGCTTCAGTCAGGCCTAGCCCCAGCCATTGAGGCCATTTGAGGAGTGAACCAGTGGACAGAAGATCTCTCTGTGTCTCACTCTCACTCTCCGTAACTCTGTATTTCAAATAAATAAAATAAATCTTTAAAAAGAGAGAAATGGTTAAAATTCTGTAAAACAAATTGAGATGTGTTCCCAATAGGGGGAAAAAAGACTTCCTAAACCAGTTTTGGGTTTTGAAGGAAAGGAGATTATAATACTGACTGTGGTCCTGTTGTGCAAACCATGAGAAAAGATGAGAAGGAGGAAGGCGCGATATGAGAAGGCCCCTTCCCAGCAGCCTAAGCAGAGCAGCGTGTCACCCCACAGGTGTCTGAATCCTCCCCACGCTGGCCTCACTTCTCCCAGACAGCATTTACAATGCTTCTCTAACTTGGACATTTCCCATCGGCCATAATCTGTTTTTCAGGGCCCACAACACATATTAATTTTCTTGTATTATTATTTATTTGAGAGACAGAGGGTAAGACAGAGACAGAGAGACAAAGAGAAATACAGACAGAAAAGGGTTCCCATGGGAACTACCCAAATGCCTACAACAGCTTGGGCTAGGACAGTCGAAGTCAGGTGTTTGGGGACTCAATCTGGGTCTTCCATGTTGATGGCAGAGACACAACTACTTAAGCCATTACCTGCTTCCTCCCAGGGTGCACATTAATAGGAAGCTGAAATTGGGAATGGAGTCAGGACTTAGACCCACGGCTCTAATATGGAATATGGCATCATTACTCTAGGTCAAATGCCTGTTCTCACATTAATTTTCCCTCTGCCTATATGTCCATTCACAGGCAGCTCTTAGAATCCTAAGTTCCCCCTCTTTCTAATATAGAGGTACTTAAAGTATATAATAGTATCATACTTCAACCTTGGAAATTCCTCTTTAAATTTACCAAAAAATGTCACTCTTACTTCCAGACTGAAATTGCAACTGCCCAATCAAACTGTCCCCAGAAAAGGCCCACCAGGACCTCAGGATCAACCTGTCTAACCCAGTACCCAGGCTTGCTCCTACCTGACATGCTTACTTCTTTGAAGGGCATCACCGTTCAATGACATCTGTAAAAAACCAGAAACTCCAATATGGGTGGTAAAAGTCTTTCTTTCAAAGATTGGTTGACTGACTGATTTGAAAGGCAGCATGACAGAGAGAGAGATCTTCCACCCACTGGTTCACTCGCCAAATGGCTGCAAAAGCCAGATCCAAGCCAGGCCAAGGCCAGGAGCCAGGAACTCCATCCTGGTCTCCCACATGTGTGGCAGATCCTCAAGCACCTAGACCATCTTCTGCTGCTTTCCCAGGTGCATCAGCAAGAAGCTGGATAAGAAGCAGAACAGCCAGAATTTGAACCAGCACTCTGATAAGGAATGCAGGCATCACAAGAGGTGGCTTAACCTACTGTGCCACAGGACAGCCCCAGAGGTAGGCTTCTTAATTTCCATGCCAAATACCTACAAGTAAATTTAAATTTAATCAATTATTTATAGCGTAACTTTTATATATGCAGTTGAAATGAGAAAAATTACGGTTTACTATTTAACTAACTGGATTTCAATTTAGGAGAAAGTTCTCTCAACATACCTTCTTCATTATTGCATATTGAGAAAACAGAACTCAATCCAAAGCCATTAGTAGAAGAAAAGCATGGGGGCCGGCACCATGGCTCACTTGATTAATCCTCCACCTGCAGTGCCAGCATCCCATATGGGCGCCGGGTTCTAGTCCTGGTTGCTCCTCTTCCAGTCAAGCTCTCTGCTGTGCCCTGGGAGGGCAGTGGAGGATGGCCCAAGTGCTTGGGCCCTGCACCCGCATGGGAGACCAGGAAGAAGCACCTAGCTCCTGGCTTCAGATCGACATACCTTCAGCCATAGCAGCCATTTGGGGGGATGAACCAACAGAAGGAAGACCTTTCTCGGCCAGCACCGCAGCTCAATAGGCTAATCCTCCACCTGCGGCGCCGGCACACTGGGTTCTAGTTCCGGTCAGGGCGCCGGATTCTGTCCTGGTTGCTCCTCTTCTAGGCCAGCTCTCTGCTGTGGCCAGGGAGTGCAGTGGAGGATGGCTCAAGTGCTTGGGCCCTGCACCCGCATGAGAGACCAGGAAGAAGCACCTGACTCTTGGCTTAGGATCAGCACAGTGCGCCGGCCGCAGCATGCCAGCCGTGGCAGCCATTGGAGGGTGAACCAACAGCAAAGGAAGCCTTTCTCTCTGTCTCTCTCTCACTCTGCCTGTCAACAACAACAACAACAAAAAAGACCTTTCTCTCTGTCTCTCTCTCTCACTGTCTGTAACTCTATCTGTCAAATAAATAAATAAATAAGGAAAGCGTGAATAAAAACAAATTGTCATATAAAATATCTTTTGGCTAACACATTACAAACATATTCCAAACAACAATCTCACCTGAGAGAGGATTCATTCGGACTTCTAGGCTCTTTGCTTTTCCAAAAGACAGGGCCATTATTCTCTTCCTTAACTTTAAAAAAAAAGTTATTTGGCCATTAATTAAAAAATTTTATTGAGTATATGAAGAAGACATATTCACATGTACTGATTTAATGATAGTTCAGAATTCTCAAAAAAACTTACAAGTCCAAAATTATAAGCCTGACAGCATGATGGAGAAAAAAGAACATGGGTTTAGATGCTAAAACATGTGCTCAAGTTCAGACTCTTCCAATAAACATGTGTGTGAACTTCACGAGTTCCGATTTTCTTCTGGCTTTAATATCTCAATTTGCAAAAATGAAGATGGGGGCCAGTGTTGTAGAATAGTGGGTAAAGTCACTGCCTGTGACACCGGCATCTGGGCACTGGTTCGTGTCCTAGCTGTTCCACTTCCAATTCAGCTTGCTGCTAATGGCCTGGGAAAGGCAGTGGAAGATGGCTCAAGTATTTGGGTCCCTGCCACAAAGTGGGAGACCTGGATGAAACTTCTGGTTCCTGGCTTTGGCATGGCCCAACACTGGCTACTACAGCTACCTGGGAAATGAACCAGTGGATGGAAGCATTCTCTCTCTCTCTCTCTCTCTCTCTCTCTCTCTCTTTCTGTAACTCTGACTTTCAACACAAATAAAATATACCTTTTTTAAAAATAAAAATGAATATGGCAATTTTGTGAATGAAAATGAGATAATATGTATAAAAATGATTTAGTTGCATGATGCCTGGTGGAGTGGGTGCAAAATAAATATTAGCTTCATTTAAAGTAAAAGCTGCCCCTCTGCTGATCCAGCTGTCTGCTAATGGCGTAGGAAAGCAATGGACCAAGTGCTTGGGCCCCTGCATCCATGTGGGAGACCTGGAAAAAGCTCCTGGCTCCTAGCTTTGGATCAGCCCAGCTCTTGGCTGTTGCAGCCATTTGGGGAGTGAATGAGAGGATGAAAGACCTTTCTCTCTGTCTCTCCCTCTCTCTGTAACTCTGCCTCTCAAATAAAAAAATAAAATAAAACAAAATCTTAAAAAGTTATTTTAAAGTAAAATCAAAGAACCAATCATAATTGACATCAAGAAAGCTGTCACGTCATCCTCATTATGTGGGTGTATCTTGGTTAGGAGTAGTCTTATCTCTGGGTATTCTGAACAAGAACTGAATTCACATTTCCATAAACTACTGCATGCAGTCAGTATTGGCTATGCATTCAACCTCCAATGGAAACCCAGCATTCCCTGTCTGACCTCCTCCCCTTCCCTAAGGAAGAAGAGAGACTGAGTCCAGGATGCAAGAGCCAACCATAGCACTAGGGCAGGAAAGGCGGGAAGCCCTTGATCCCACAGAGAATTCTTGACCAGGGTTTCCCTGGCTCTCTTAGCTGTGCCCTCCCTTAGTGCACTTGTTTCCATTTCCTCCCCGACTTTCCCTTCCTTTTTTCAGTTAATTTTTCTTTTGAGGTAAAATCTGAGAAGATGAATGCAAAATCTTGAGTGTATTTTCACTGACTTTGGCTATTTCCTTGTGAACGGCTCTGAACAGCTCTTCTGTCTCATTTATGTGTGTCTGAGAGACCAAGACACCTCAAACTTGAGAGAAAGAACTCCCGCACTTCAGAGGGCCAGAGACAGTGTAGGAAGGGATCTACAGAGACATGGAATACACAGGTCACTACAGCTTGCTCTGGTCCAGGCATGAGAAGACAACCCAGAAATCAAAGACAACCGGGGGATTTGAGACAAAGGCCAGATGAAGACAACATTCTTAAGGAACCTACAGCTGTAAAAGATAATGTTGGAAGAGTCAAGGTGTTGTCGTGGTTGGTGTGGGCTACATGTATGTGAATCCCTACAACTCATATATTAGAACGTTAACACCCAATGTGATGGAGGGTGAACCAACGGCAAAGGAAGACCTTTCTCTCTGTCTCTCTCTCACTGTCCACTCTGCCTGTCAAAAAAAAAAAAAAACACACCCAATGTGATACTATTAAGAGGTAAGGTCTTTGGGGAAGTGATTAAACTATGAGAGACCTGCCCTTATGACTAGGATTAGCGCCCTTATAGAACAGGCTGACAGGAGCAGCTGAGTCCATTCGACTCCTTCACTATGTGAGACACAGTTCGTATGGAGTCCCTCAGTCCTTTAGTACAATCTGTATCAGATGGAACGTCAGTAGTGCTGATCTACTGAGGGACGTTTTTCACAAGGGACACTACAAAAATGATACGTCTGCTTTCTCAGTTGGAAGAAGTTTTATTACACTTATCAGAATCCTATTCCTGTAGAAAAGACTTTCAAGCTTCCAGTTATAAAAACAAAACAACAACAACAAAAAACTGTCTACTAAACCTGAGAGAATTGTCAGTGCCTTGTGATTCTTGTCTCAGGACACGTCATTGGTTTTAGAAAAAGCGTAGGTTTTAGTTTACACATGCATACACACACACACACACACACACACAGCTTGTGGACAAATGGAATTAAAATGCAAGCTTATGGGCAGGGCATCTGACCTAGAGGTAAAGATATCAGTTAGGACACCTGCATTCCATATCAGAGTACCTAGCAATGTCTGACTCTGACTTCAGTTTCCTGGAGTTTCCTGCTAATGCAGATCCTGGGATGCAGTGGTGATGGCTCAAGTAGTTCGGTCTCTGCTGCCCAGAAACGAGACCTTAACTGGGTTCCTGGCTCCTGGCTTTAGCCCCAGCCCAACCACACTCATTGTGGGCATCTGGGGACAAACCAGCAGATGAGAGCTCTCTTTCTTATCTGTCTGTCTGTCTCTCCTAAGTAAATGATTTCTTTAAATAAAAAATTTTAAATCATCAATAGTTTTGTTCATAATATGCATTTTTATGAATTTTTAAGAACCCCCTATGTATGGATTTCAAAATTTTTTGTACCAAAATTATCTTTGTTTCATTGTGAAAAATAAATATTTTTAATTCAATTTCAATAAACTTTTTAAAAATATTTATTTATTTATTTATTTGAGAGGCAGAGTTACAGACAGAGGGGGTGACAGGGAGAGAGATCTTCCATTCACTGGTTCACTCCCCAAATGGCTGTTAACAGCCGGAAATGAGCTGATCAAAAGCTAGGAGCCAGGAGCTTCTTCTGGGTTCCCCACATGGGTGCAGGGGCCCAAGTGCTAGGACCATCTTCCACTGCTTTCCCAGGCCATTAGCAGGGAGCTGGATTGGAAATGGAGCAGCCAGGACTTAAGCTGGTACCCATATGGGATGCCAGCACTGCAGGCAGAGACTTAACCTACTATGCCATGGTGCTGGCCCCTTCCATAAACTTTAAAAAAAAAAGGCAAGAAACAAAGAAAAAAAGATTTATTTGAAAGGCAAAGTGACAGAGAAAAGAAGAAAAAGTAAGAGAGGGAAACAGAGAGAGATCTCTCATCTGCTGGTTCACTTCCAAAATGCCGGCAATAGACAGGGTTCGACCATGCTGAAGCCAGGAGCCTGGAACTCTTTCAGGGTCTCCAGCATGGGTGGCAGGAACCCAGGTACTTGAGTCACCATCCACTTCATTCCAGGCACACAGCAAGAATATGGATTGGAAGGGTGGAGTAGCCTGGAATGGATGTGTCTCATATTAAGGTGGCTTAACCTGTTGGACCTCAATGTCCAATGCCCCTCCACCCACAAACCTTTTAAAGTACCTGTGGGGGGGGCCAGCGCTGTGGTGCAGCAGGTTAAAGCCCCGGCTTGCAGTGCCAGCATCCCATATGGGTGCCAGTTTGATTCCTAGCTACTCAATTTCTGATTCAGCTTGCTGCTAATGCACCTGGGAAAGCAGCGGAGGACGGTCCAAGTTCTTGGGCTCCTGCACTCACATGGGAGACCCGGAAGAAGCTCCCGGCTCTTGGCTTCAGATAGGCTCAGCTCCAGCTGTTGTGGCCATTTGGGGAGTGAGTGAGCAGATGGAGGACCTCTCTCCCTCCCTCCCTCTCTCTCTCTCGGTAACTCTTTCAAATAAATAAAATAAATTTTAATAAGAAAATAAATAAAGTACCTGTGTGTGTGTGCGTGTGTGTGTGTGTATAAAACCTTGATTCAGTTTACAGTTCATTAAGCTGTTTCATGCACGTTTGGAAGTTGGTTGATTTCATTTCCTGCCTATATCTCAAAATATACCATTAAAGCTTTAAGGTCTTTTCTGATTCTAGACTTATGGTGAACATTTAGTAGTCACTAACCATCTGAGAGTATTTAGATTTAATTTAAAATTGATTCAGTTACCCATATTTCAAGTGTTAAATGGCCATGGTAGCCTATGTCTACTGTAATAGACATAATCAGACCAGATCTAGAATATCTCCATTATTGCAGAAAGTTCTATGGATAGTTCTGTTCTAGAACATATCTGAAACTAAATCATAATAACCCAATCTATTCAAGAGCTTTAGCTACTAATGCAATTCACTACTGTCACTCTATTCTCATCAACATTGTTTAATTACCATTTTCTTTCCTCTAAATGTGAAAAGTATGATTCAAAATGCTAACTGTGGCCCATATAAGGCCACATATATACTACAGACAAAAGACTCTTTCTCTATATCTCCAGAAAAGTTGGGCCTCATAAGGAATCCTGTTAAAAGTGTTTTTACTATAAATGATGGGCAGTTTTGAGTTTGTTCAGATGATCAAGCTGATTAGAGTGTGGGCACCTCTGCCACATGACAAAAATATTCCCTAGGCTTTTACCCAAGAGGTTTGGACTCCGTTCTAATAATTACCTGTATTTAAGTGTACAGTGGCTAATACACACTGCTTCTCTAGGTATGACATCATCATTAACATTAAAGACTCTAGTAAAGACTATTTTTAAATGGATGGTCAGACGGGTTGTAGCCTATATATTCCTTCAGGACCATGTATCACAGAATGTATGGCAGGTGAAGCACTAGGATATATACAGCAACATCTAATCCAAGAAACAAGTAGCTTGGAGGAAAGAGAATGTTCCCATCCTGAAATGTACTGTGACTCTGTGTGACAGTGACCATTTTGTTTTCAAAATCCTCTATGCAAAAGGGTCAGATGGTTGGGCATGAGAGTAAAGAACAAGCTGAAGTAATGTTATGACCAGCCAGGCACACAAAAACTCTTCACTGCTTCAACACCATTTGAAAAGCCTCTAGGCGTTTAAATTTCATAGAACTTCAACTTGCTTTATTATTCTTTTCACATCTGTTTTCATCTTCCTACATATGTTGGGGACAAAAAGCCAAGAATAATTACACTCATGGACAAGGATAAATATGCATTTAAGGCAAACACCACCAGTTAGATGCCTTAATTAGTGTGACAAGAGACCTGGTGAGCAACCAGGGATTTAATAAGCCTCCTAATTATAACGACTTCTTCAAAGTTTCCATGCTCATAGTGTGTTAGTGTGGAAAGGTGTTCATCCATGAAAACGTACAAACACACCAGATAACCGCCTCATACTTGTAGCTATCCAATGCTCCAAGAGGCTCTAGTCTGACTTGGAGACCCAGTGGAATAGCTGGCATGGGCTAGTCCAGTCACACTGTCCGGATGCCAGATGTGGAAAGGCTTATCCAGGAGCCACCTTGGACCTTTACCCTTCCCTTCTCCTAGCAAAGGATGCAATCTTAATGACCGACCGCATTAAGTCAGCCATCCCAGTTGTGTGCCCAGTACTGCTCACACTGTTTCATGTTAACACAGTTCTGTGAAGCTAGTGATAGAGGTGAGGAAATTGAGGCTCACAAAGGTTAAGTAACTTGAAGAAGGTTTCTTAGCCAAACCCGGGCTTAGCCAAGTCCAGGGTTCACATTCTTTATCCCTGCTTTTCATCAGCCCTCCATTACAGGGACAGATGCCTTACAGAGCTCATATATCTACACAGGTATAGCTATGTCTACAGATCTCTATCTCTGTAGACCTGAGCTGGTTTTACTCACAACATGTCTGACAGCAAATATATGGGATTTCTCCTCCACCCAAAAACCAATTTTCCACTTCTCCAGACACCAACTAGGTATTCTACAATTAGGTTCAATTCTGACACTACCAGGAATTAGCGTAGACCCACAGGTAAAGGTTTTAGCCCCACAAGACTGCCCCAACTTCAGGCACCAGTTGTCAAATCCTAGGTTTCCATCTGTAGTCTGCCCTCCTAAAGAGGATCAGTAGATGCAGCCCTGAAAGATGCCACTTTTTTTTTTTTTTGACAGGCAGAGTGGACAGTGAGAGAGAGAGAGACAGAGAGATAGGTCTTCCTTTGCCGTTGGTTCACCCTCCAATGCCTGCCGCAGCCAGCGCGCTGAGGCCGGCGTACCACGCTGATCCGATGGCAGGAGCCAGGTGCTTCTCGTGGTCTCCCATGGAGTGCAGGGCCCAAGCACTTGGGCCATCCTCCACTGTACTCCCTGGCCACAGCAGACAGCTGGCCTGGAAGAGGGGCAACCGGGACAGAATCCGGTGCCCTGACCGGGACTAGAACCCGGTGTGCCGGCGCCGCAAGGCAGAGGATTAGCCTAGTGAGCTGCAGCGCCAGCGGAAAGATGCCACTCTGATGTGCTGGTTATTTTGAGCTGAAGGCACTTGAGAAAGAGCATATGCAGGAAAGGCTCTCTGTCCTTTCTACCTAAAAGATAGGCATAAATTTCCCATGAAAAAAATGTGACCTCTCTGTGCCAAGAAGAGGAGAGCACTGTCATTACCAGAGACAAGGAGTTAATGTAAAGATATGTAATAACTCTTATCATTCGTTAATGTCCCCACATATTTCCTAGCCATCTCTCCTCTATGAGGGCCTCCATACCATGTGAAAATGTTAACATTTGGGTGTTAGCATTGCATTACAGTGGGTTAAGCTGCCACTTGCAATGTCAGCATCCCACACCAGAGTGCCAGTTCAAGTCCTAGCTGCTTTGCTTCTGATCCAGCTCCCTGCTAATGTGCCTGAGAGAGCAACAGATAATAGTGTAAGTGCTTGGGCCCCTGCCACCCACATGAGAATCCAGGTGGTATTCTAGGTTCCTGGTTTCAGCGTGGTCTAGCACTGGCCATTGTGGCCACTTGGAGAGTGAACCAACAGATGGAGGATCAATGTCTCCCTCTGTCTCTCCCTCTCTCTCTCCCTGTCACTCTGGCTTCCAAAACAAATAAACCTTTTTAAAAAATTGTTAACATTTAATTGAATATGTATGTCTTTTCCCTGTTAATCTGCCTTTTGTCAGTTTAATCCTCCAGCCCATCCACACAAGTGAACAGGGCAGAGGAAAAGTTGCTCCTTCCCTGCACCCCAACCCCATCCTCAGGCTCCATAATTTGCAAGAACAGCTCACAGAACTGAACACAGTGCTTTACTTACTATACTCCCAGTCAGTTATAAAGGGGACCACTCAGGAACAGCCAAATGGAAAAGACAGATAGGGCAAGGAGTCTGGGACAGGTGCCCTCTCCCAGTGCAGCATCCTCTCCAAAAGTCTTCGTGTCTACCAACCCAAGAACTCTCCAAGCCCCAACCCTGAGGAGGTTTTCTGGAGGTTTAAATGGGCATGATTGTTTACAACATTGGTCACTGGGAATTCACTTGATCTCCAGCCTCTCTTCCTTTCCTGAGGGTGGAAGAGGAATGAGAGTTCCTACTCTGCTCCCTTGCCAAAGGAACCAACCCTCCACCTGAGGCTACCCAGTGGCTCACCAACGGTGACTCCATTAGCACAGACTCAGGTCTGGTGAAAAAGGAGCTTGTTATGAATAACAAATTCTCATCACACCTATCACTCAGAATATTCCAAGGTTTTAGAAGTTTTGTGTCAGGAACCTGGGACAAATACATATTTTAATTGTATAACAATATATAAATAAATTACATATAATATATACTAAAATATATAATAAATAGTAAATTGCTGACGTACATATGATATTACATGGATAATTATATTTTTACCCATTTGTCTGTGGATTTTTAAAACTTCTTCACAGGAGAAAAGCCTGGGAAAAGCCTAACAAGTGAAACATACCGGCAAAGCAGTTTTGGTTGAGTCAGGAGGATGCTAGGACCCCTGGCTCCTCGCCCTTCTCCTATCCCCACCCCACTGTGGATCTTCCAGATCTCCATGGGCTCAGCAGGAAAATCACCTGCATCAGATGCTGAGCTCTCCAAGAATGGGATCTAAGGTGACTTTTCATCTTTGTATCTAGGTGTGTGTCGCAGTTCTTAGGTGGTGACAAAAATTCTCTCCTTGGTCAACCTTACCCCATGCTCCCCTAAGCTTTTCCATTAGGCTTTAACTCTTGGACTTGTCTGCACTGTCCAGTTTTAGCAAAAGGTCTGCTAAGTTGGTTAGCCAGCAACCCCCAACCTCCATATACAATTATTCTTTACCTCTCATAGGGTTTCTCCTTGTTTACATCCCCCAGGTGATGTCAGATCACCCTGATCTGCCTTCAGCTAGGATACTATTAGGTCAGAATTCCCCATGTACCTCACTCCAAGGTTTTCTTGTGGTAATTTTCTTTCTTTCTTTCTTTTTTTTTTTTTTTGACAGGCAGAGTTAGACAGTGAGATCCAAAGCCAGGAGCCAGGTGTTTCCTCCTGGTCTCCCATGCAGGTGCAAGGCCCAAGCACTTGGGCCATCCTCCACTGCACTCCCGGGCCACCGCAGAGAGCTGGACTGGAAGAGGAGCAACTGGGACAGAATCCAGCACCACTGGACAGAATTCGGGACTAGAACCTGGGGTGCTGGTATTGCAGGCGGAAGATTAGCCTAGTGAGCCGCAGCGCTGGCCACTTGTGGTAATTTTCTATCCAACAACCCATCCTGTTCCTTGGCTACAAATCCCCACTTGTCCTTACTGTACTCAGAATGGAGCCAGGGTCTGCACTGAGGTCTCTTTTTTTCTACTGCAACAATCCTGAGTAAAAATCTGTTTTTCCCACTTTACTATCCAGTTCTAATTTTTGTTGACAGATTCCCAACAAATATTTTTGCATAAAGAGTGACTGCTGTTAACAACTATAACTATCGGAAAATGAGCTGATGGCTTCCCTGTTTGGTGAGAGGCCCAAGGCTCATTTCTATAAAGCCAAATTCAAATTATTTCTGGTTACCTGACTGTACTTCTTTTCCAGGTTTTAGGTTAAAATTTTTAGATGTTAATAAGATTATTAAGATAAAACAAGAACTGACCACATGGAATCATGATCCTAACTTTATTGAAAACTAGGATGTAGTGAATAAAGTTCTTTCTCTCTTTTCCTTTCTTTCCCTTTCCTTCTGTTTTTATTTATTTTCATTTTATTTGAAAAGCTGGAAAACAGAATGAGACTAACAGAGATCTTCAATTGGCTAGTTCACTCTCAAACAGCCAGGGCTGGGTCTGGCCAAAACCAGGAACCCAGAACTCAACCTGGGTCTCTCATGTAGGTGGCAGGGACCCAAATATTGCTCCCCAGGGTGTGTATTAGCAGGAAGCTGGACTGGACGCACAGTAGCCAGGACTCAAATCAAGTACTCTGATACAAAATGGGGCATCCCAAGTAGAAACTTAACAGCTGCACCAAACGCTCAACACCCTCCCATTCTAAACACCGGTATTCATGGCAAACTTTGTCCAGCCACTGTGCTACTGATAATGGACTGGTCAGCTCAGCTTTGGTGTAAAGAATGTTAGGATTTTTTTTTAATCTCATAAAGAAACATCTTTTGTTATATAATTTTAAGAAATATATTACATACCTTTTTTATTGTTAGCATTGGCATGATGAAATGGAAACAGGAATTTCCCAAGACCTTTTGACTTTTCACATTCTTTTTTAACAGTTGAAGAATAGATGATACGAATATGTTGGTTGACTTCTCTATCAGGTGAATTCAAAAATTCTGGGTAATCATCAATCTGAAAAAAAGTAATTTAACTCATTGAAGATAAATATGACTGCTTACCTATTCTGGAATAATAAATCTCCCAAAGCTGGTAGCAAGTTTAAACTGATTTATTTCTTTTCTTATTTTCTCCACTAGGACATCTTTCTTCTTCCTTTTCGGTTTCCCAATTCTTCCACTATGGGAGAAAATGTGCTGAAAATGGGCTCAGCAGCAGAACCCAAGAAACTACTGACTCTCTAGGATTGTTAAATAGTAACAATATTTTTATTTACTAAATGTATCCCTCTCTATTTCCATTTTGTTGTTTGTTTTCTTTCAAGTTTCTTTTTCTTAATAACTTGATTTTTTAAATTTATTTTTATTTTATTTGAAAGATTGGAGAGAGAGAAAAAAGAAAGATTGTTCCATTCAATGATTCACTTCACAAATGCCCCAATAGCCAGGGCTGGACCTGGCCAAAGCCAGGAGTCAGCAACTTTACCTGGGTCTCCCACATGGGTAGCAGGGACCCAAGTACTCCAGCCATCACCTGCTATCCCCCAGGGTGTGCCTACATCATCAGGAAGCTGGAACTGGAAGAGAAGCTGGGACTCAAACCCAAGCACTACCCTGATACGTGCTGCCAAGCATCTTCTGAACTGCTGCACCAAATGTTTGCTCTTTCATTTCCAATTTGAAAAACAGATTAAGAAAAAAAGATTTTTAAAATGTACAATGAATGGGTTTAACTTAGGATTTTTCTATGGAGGATGCAATGTCCTACAACAGACTCTGTAAATACAAACATTCAGAGCTGAACTATGGGAAATGTGTTTCCTCTCCAACATGCTTGGTTTTCTGTTCTTGATTAAGAGGGAAAAGGCGGGTCGGCACTGTGGCACAGCAGGTTAAAGCCCTAGCATGCAGGGTTGGTATCCCATATGGGTGCCAGTTCGAGTCCTGGCTACTCTACTTCAGATCCAGCTACCTGCTAATGTGCCTAGGAAAGCAGTGGAGGATGGCTCAAGTTCTCGGGCTCTTGTTCCCACGTGGGAGCCCCAGAAGAAGCTCCTGGCTCCGGATCAGCTTAGCTCTGGCCATGGCAGCCATTTGGGGAGTGAACCAGTAGATGGAAGATCTCTCTCTTTCTCTCTCTCTCTCTCTCTCTCTCTCTAACTCTCTCTGTAACTCTGTCTCTCAAATAAATGAAATAAATCATATATGTGGGGAAAAAATCTTAATAAATACTTAGGACTTTTAAATCTTGTCTTTAATAAGCTAACTTCTCTTTTTATGACAGGCAACAAAGCATCTGATTGAAAAGAATAAAAGCCAGAGAATCATTAGAGGGATATCTAAAACCATTAATTCAAGAATCAGCAGGGGTTCCTCTATAGACTTTTTGTAAGTTCTAAGAAATTGCAAAATTCTATGATCATGTAGTTTCATCTTTCTCTTTTCACAAATATAAGAAAATGTCAAGTAATAATAACATTTAGAAAATCTAACTCAAAGTAGTTGAAGATAGGAAATGGATTAATGAACTCAGTCTTTAAAATCAAAGGCTGCTTGGGATGCCCACATCATAGGTTCAAGTCCCAGCTCTGGCTCCCAATTCCAGCTCGCTGCTAATGTGCACCGTGGGAAGCAGCATACAACGCTCTAGCACTTGGGATCCTGCAACCCAGGTCAGAGTTGTAGACTGAATTCCAGGTTCCCAGCTTCGGTCTCACCCAGCCCTGGCTGTAGTGGGCATTTAGGAAGTGACCCAGCAGATAGGAGATATCTGTCTCTCTGCATTTTTTTTTTTTTTTTTGACAGGCAGAGTTAGACAGTGAGAGAGAGAGACAGAGAGAAAGGTCTTCCTTTCCGTTGGGTCACCCCCCAAATAGCCGCTACAGCCAGTGCTGCGCCGATCTGAAGCCAGGAGCCAGGTGCTTCCTCCTGGTATCCCATGTGGGTGCAGGGCCCAAGCACTTGGGCCATCCTCCAATGCCTTCCTGGGCCACAGCAGAGAGCTGGACTGGAAGAGGAGCAGCCAGGACAGAATTCGGCACCCCAACCGAGACTAGAACTCGGGGTGCCGGCACCGCTGGTGGAGGATTAGCCAAGTGAGCCACAGTGCCGGCCCAAATAAAATAAATCTTAAAAAAAAAAAAAAAAAGTTGCCTCAGGTATTTCGCTATAGTAATGAGAAGTTGATAAATACAAATGGCTTTATCATCTTTGTTCTGCAGGCCACAGGAACATAGACAGTTCTTGTCAGTTGCTTTATTCTTACCATGAGCTTTCATCCATCCTTTCACAACTGAGAGTCCTCAGTAATAAACTACTCATAGCCAGCTGAAGTCTCTTATTTTACTCTGGGATTCTGGTGCTCCCCTGAAGGTTCTACTACAATCTAAAAGTCAGTCCATATCTTCAACAAAAAAGGACAATCTCAGAGGCTCCTCCAAAAGGACTGCACAAAACCTCTCAAACTATTTAGTGTCCCGTCAAGGGTGAGCCGACATTGCTTAGCTAACTCTGAAGTCACAGCAGTGGACTGAGGATTTTCAGGACTCCATGAGGTCAAACGGACATTTTCATGAGACTTTAACTCAAGATTCAGACAAGTAAGAATCAACATCCCAGGTCTGAATGCAATTGATAAGGAAAACTTTATTGTGGCTATTCTGTTTTCAATACCATGGGTGTGGTTTGAATACTCTGTTTTATGGACATATAAGAAAGCCATTTCTGTTTTTTCCTAAATCACGTCATGTGCAACTTGCAACAATTTTGTAAATTCTCTTTTTGTAAGCTGAAAGGTCATAAACATCTGATTTTCACTGACTCTTCCAGAATTCAGAAAGTCTTCCTATATTCAGAGAATCTGCCTTCTTTTGTACCAGGATATAATTAGACACACTGAATCTACAACCAAAGGTGTGCATGAGTGTCACATTTAAGGGGAGTGTTCATTTAGACAGGAAGGGCAAGCCATGTTAGAACTGAAGGCTGGTGGCACTTACAGAACCAATGTTTACAAAACTCTCCCAGGAAAGCCGGCCTGCATCTGGTTTATAGGACCCCAGCTATAGAACCTCTAAAAGAAGATTTTAGTACCTCAAAATTCACTCAAATTTGTGGCTACTGCAACAGAAATCTGATGGAGAGCTTCTCTGGGTTGGTTTTCTAGAGCTGTTAGAAAGTCTAACCCAACATTGATTATGAAATCTTCTAGAAGAAGTTAATTTTATGTCTGCAATAGATGGTGGGGGCTGGGAGGAACCATCAGAAAAAACTGTGAAGAACTCTGAATTGGACTGGAACGGAAGATGAGCTTGTGTTGCCTATTTTAGTTCAGACAGCCAGATTATCAATGCTTTTCACTATCTTTGAGCTATTCTACAATGCTAAAACTTTTATAAAATGTTTTTGTGTTTTGTAAAAACATAGAGAAATTTAAATTATGTGGCAAATCTATCAACTTTCTCTTTTTTTTTTTTTTTTTTGACAGGCAGAGTGGACAGTGAGAGACAGAGAGAGAAAGGTCTTCCCTTGCCGTTGGTTCACCCTCCAATGGCCGCCGCTGCAGCCGGCGCACCGCGCTGATCCGATGGCAGGAGCCAGGAGCCAGGTGCTTTTCCTGGTCTCCCATGGGGTGCAGGGCCCAAGCACCTGGGCCATCCTCCACTGCACTCCCTGGCCATAGCAGAGGGCTGGCCTGGAAGAGGGGCAACCGGGACAGAATCCGGCGCCCCGACCGGGACTAGAACCCGGTGTGCCGGCGCCGCAAGGTGGAGGATTAGCCTATTGAGCCACGGCGCCGGCTATCAACTTTCTCTTTATTATTTCTTCCTTTGATTTATGCTTAGAAATGCCTCTACACCTTGACATCAGATAAATATTCACCCCTTTTATTTCACTGCATTTTATAGCTTCCTCTTTTCCTCTACTCCTTCTTAAATCTATAGGAAGAATGCAGGTTTAACAGCAGGTTAAAGCCCTGGCCTGAAGCGCTGGCATCCCATCTGGGCGCTGGTTCGAGACCCAGCTGCTCCTCTTCCGATCCACCTCTCAGCTGTGGCCTGGGAAAGCAGTAGAAGATGGCCCAAGTCCTTGGGCCCTTGCACCCACATGGGAGACTCAGAAGAAGCTCCTGGCTCCTGGCTCCTGGCTCCTGGCTTTAGATTGGCGCAGCTTCGGCTGTTGCGGTTACCTGGGGAGTGAACCAGCAGATGGAAAACCTCTCTCTCTGTCTCTACCTCTCTCTGTAACTCTGTCTTTCAAATAAATAAAATAAATCTTTAAAAAATAATTTGAATAATAATTTATGGAACACAAAACAAAGATGATCTTATATAATCCTCACAAAAACCTATGAGGAAGTTATTAGTAACCCCCTGTTGCAAATGAGGGAAGTGACATTAAGAGAGAGTTAAAGTTTACAAAAATAATAAATGGTAGAACTGAAATTATAAGACAGAACTACAATTACAAGACAATTTGTCTGCAAAGACAATTTTATAAAAACAACTAATGTTTAAGAGCAGAGCCCTACTAGTGGCCAGGGGTGGGAATCCAAACGATAACCAAGCAGCTGGACTCACTATTATGTCAGAGCTTCAATCACATTATGTTAATTCCTTTATTTTGGAGGAAGTTGAGCCAGACCTCTTTCAGTTGCTGTTATCATTGAATTTGGTTTGCTTTGTCATTCAAGAATACTTTCCTTAAACAAACTATGACAGAATTCATATAAAAACATCTGTGTAACTTTTTTCTATATTCATTGGCACAGAAAAATATCCACCATATGCTGTAAAGGGAAAATAACATATTATAAAACATTATGTGGAGTATGGTTCTGTGTGTGTGTGTGAATGCAGAGAAAACGGTTTGGAATGTTGTATATCAAATTTTCTTGTGTATGTTATTAGACGTGGTCATCCCTGGATGGTGGAATTATAGGTATTTATATTTATTTTCTTAAATTTTAACTCAAAGAATAATCTAGATAATATTATAGAGACAATTATTTAGCTG